AGGATTTTTGCCGCCCTAGGCAAAAGTAAACTTTGCCGCCCCCACCATGTGACATCACAATGCCCCACCCATATGATTTGCCATGTTAACTAACGCCAGTGCTGCAGTGCCCCCGCAGGGACAGGCTATAGACACCAGAACCACTACATTAAGCTGCAGTGGTTCTGGGGACTATAGTGTTTCTTTAATGTGAGGTAAATTAGAGCTTAGTGCCACTAATAATATACTAGATTGCCCTCTTACAACCAGATGAGGATGATTATGGGCTCTAGCTGCAGTCTGGCTCCACTGGTCTGGTGTAGAACAGGCTCTCTGGAGGCGGTTTGTAACTGTGGTCACAAAAATCAATGTTCTGGGAGAACGGGAAGCAGCTCCATTTTTTGGGGGCCCTTTACACAGCTCAAGGTCTGGGTCCCAGGGTCCACCTTCATGTTCCACCAATGAGTTTGTTCACAGGGGTGGAGTGTGTAGGGGATGTCCTGATATGTGTGTAAGGAATGCATTGTGTGAAATTGTGTTTGTATGTGTAAGGGCTGCAAGGTGTGTTTCTGTGTATAAAAGCAGGAAAATGGGAAGATGGGTCTGCGCCAATCTACACAATAAATAATAGTATTAAGTCCAATAGGATCTATATTGTCGTTTCCAAAGTTCTACTTTTTGCGATATCCTGAAGGTGTCGGTGGCGTGAAGAGTAATCCAAATATGTAAAAATAGAAGAGTTATTACTTACACTTAACAGAGCTTAATCCAGCTCTGGTGTGAATGGTTTACAGCAGTATTATCCCGCTTGCAGGATATGCGGCAAGTGTCCTCTTCTTTGTAGTGACAGGTAACCAAGTTGGAAATAAAAATGGAAACAATAATGGTGCGGTATGTTCCACACGTATAGTAAAAAATATAAAATATAATAGATACACTCACATTCGGTAGAGCTTTGGCTAGCTCTAGTTTGTTAGGCATACAGCGGTATCATCCCCGCTTGTAGGATATAGGATGAGTGATCTTGACGAGAATATCAGGAGCTCGGAGAGAAGATAAAACAGCGATAGTGGTCTCAATAAAATCTTAGTAATAAAATAAAATAATAAAATATACTCACAATGTATAGGGCAGGCTAACTGCTCTATGTAACAGCGTAGGTGGTATAATCCCCACCTAGGATTCTTTGGAGTATAATATGCAGGAGTTAAAAATAATAAAATAAGTATATAGTATAAAATGTATATAAAACGTATATAAAAAGTCAGGTAATAATAAAAGATGATGGTTTAAACGTAAAAAATGACCAAAATCTTTTTATTAACAGTATATAAAACAGTAAAAATATCCAAACGCGTTTCGCCAGTATAAGGCTTTATCAATGGATAACAAACGACGTAAAAAATTTATATAAAACGTATATAAAATGTATAAACAAGTATAAAATGTATATAAAACGTATATAAAAAGCCAGGTAATAATAAAAGATGATGGTTTAAACGTAAAAAATGACCAAAATCTTTTTATTAACAGAATATAAAACAGTAAAAATATCCAAACGCGTTTCGCCAGTATAAGGCTTTATCAATGGATAACAAACGTTGTTTGTCTTTGAGGGGAAGTAATGTA